AGTAATACAAATGCTATTTTGAGAAGTAGTCATTGTATTTATCCCTGTCTCTAGCCCAAGGACAAAATGGAAGTCAGCATTAACATGTATGTGTCAACTGCATGCTGAATTCTGCAGCAGGCACAGGTGCACATTTAAGCACATTCTCTCACCCTCCAGTTGAGTCTTCCCAAGTGTTGGGGATAATGGGTCCCTAACAATGTAAATGTCATCGAGGTTAATTAATTCTGTGCTATATATTCACAAAGCTAAGTGACACTATGTAATGTAAATCCAAATTATCTGAGACATATTTTAAATACTACCCATAATTTACTAAAGTGTTTTTTCATATAAAAGGCAACTGAATTACTATTAAGAGTATGTTAATCACTGATTGTACTTTCACACAGAAACCTAATTTTAATTAACAATTCAATATAAAACCTTTGCTGGAATCTACTGTTTAGGATGTGGGACTAATACACCTAATGCTGGATTTTATTAAATGAAACATGAATAGAAAATTTGGACGGTTGAAATGAGCCAGCAAAAGATAAAAAGAATGAGCATATGTAAGGGAGTAAATGCAGTCTTTTCCATTACCAAGTCATTTTAATGGACTCTCTTGCTCTTTATTTTTATTTTTGGTATTGGGGGTCGAATTAGGACCATGCACTGGCCAGGAAGGTGTGGCGCCACTGAGTTAAATCCTGAGCTCTCTTCCTCTTTAATAAGTGTATCAGCCTCTGCTCAACTTCGGCATAAAAGTTTCCTAAGCATTTTCTTAAGAAACACCGGATACTTTAAATGTGTTTCCATAAAGTCTTTGGTAATGGAATGGTATCTAATTTTAGCTCTAGTAATTTGACTGTGTGTGTGCCTATGCTCTTAAACTGAGTGTAACTACTGTAAGAGGTAAAATAACTTTCCTTTCTTTTATACCTAACATTTGTGAATTACTGACTTGTGTTTCCAACTTTTGCCAAAGGGGGGAGTAAGAGACCTGCCTACAAAATTACACTAGAGAGTTTATCATTCAGCTCTTCCAAACCACTCTTTCAAGTCACCCAACTATATAAAGCAGAGCCAAAATTGATTTCTGATCTACATTTTTCTGGTATATCAAATGACTCATTTTTGACAGTGGCATATGTTTGCAATCCCAGCACTCTGGGGGGGGGGGCAGAGGCAGGAGAATTTCAGATTCAAGCCTCGTCTGGTCAAATTAGTCAAACTGTTTTAAAATTAAAAATAAAAAGGGCTGTGAATGAAGCTCAGTGTGAAGCCCTAGGCTCAATCCCCAGTCCCAGAAAGGGGGGAGGAGGAGAATCTAATTGTCTGTACAACTGAACAGCACATATGAAAACATGGAGTACTGCCTCCTCCAGGTCCTCCTCCTCCTCCTCCTCCTCCAACTACTACTGATGTCACAACAATTAACATCATCATCATCTTCATCATAGGCATCCTGCTTTTCCTATTTTATAGGAGTAGTATTACAAGTGTGGCACGCAGTAGGTTATAACAAAAAATAAAACATGCAAATGGGGCCAGGCATGGTGGCGCACGCCTGTAATCCCAGCACTCGGGAGGCTGAGGCAGGAGGATCGCTGTGAGTTCCAGACCAGCCTGGGCTACACAGTGAGTTCCAGGTCAGTCTCATAGTGCAACCCTGTCTCAAAAGACCAAAAAACCAACCAACCAAACAAAAACAAATATGCAAATGTCACAAAGTCGTAAGGCAGTGATGTGTGAATATCTGCGCCTTCCATTTTAATTATATGTTATGAATATTTAAAATCACATATCCTAAAACTTTCTTTGCATTCATAAACATACATGAACCGGTGCTGTTTTATTAATAGAAAGACAGTGAATTTCTTTGTAACATTTAATTCAACTGAAAAATTGCATATTTTCAACTTTTCAGTGGATTGTGCTACACTAATTTCCACAGAAGTATTAACTTATGCATTCCTTCCAACTTCATCTCACCACAACCAATCATTAATTGTTGTCAATCTTAAGGGTGCAAACTGACCTCACATTTAATGTTACTTCCAGTATGTATGGCTAACCTCTTATGTTTAAAAAAATAATCCTGGTAAAATGCACAACATAAAATTCACCATTTTGGCTCCTTCTGGGGGTGGGGTACTGCACACAGGGCTCTCTCATTAGGTACGTGCTCTGATACTGAGCTACATCTCCAGCCATTTTCATATTTTATAAGATGCCCGGGCTGGACTTGGATCTGTAGTCTTCCTGCCTCAGCTTCTCAGAGTGCTGTGATTAAAAGTATGTACCATCACCACCAGCTACAGTTTGGCCATTTTAAGTGTCATTAAGTAATTCACATTTCTATATGTCACAATGACTCATCCCTACAGCCTTTTAAAGCTTCCCAACAAAAATATCGAATAATTCACTATTTACCACCCCCCATCAACTACTAGTAGGCACTATTCTATTTTCTGTCTCTGAATTTGTCCATTCCAGGCACCTCATACATGTGGAATCACACAATAGGTAAACTTCTGTGTCCTAGAAGTATATAAATCTTTTCATTGTACAATGTGTCAGAATTCATTTCTTATGATACCTGAATGCTGCACTGTATGCATGAATATCACATTTTATTATTTCTGTGGATGAGTATTTGATTTTTTTTTTTTTTTGACAGGGTCTCACTATGTAGTTGAGTCGGACCTGGAACTCACTATATATGCTCAGGCTGGTCTCGACCTCACAGTGATCCTCCTGCCTCAGCATTCCGAGTGCTGGGATTACAGGCATGCGCCACCGCGCCCGGCTGAACTGTTTCTAATGTTTTTCTTTTATGAGCAACAGCTATGAATCCTAGTGTAACAACACCTGTTTGAATCCTTGGCTTTCAGTACTTTCAGTTTTACATGTAGTATACCTGCTGGATGGCACAGGCAATTCTACCTTTGACTTTTTGAGGAACTACACTGTAAATTCCTACCAACAATGTTCAAGTGTTCCAATGTTCTTCAAACACCTGTTATTTCCTTTACAAATTAAATAATAAGCAATCCTGGTGAAGTGGTATTTAATTGTGCCTTCGATTTATATTTCTGTAATGACTGAATGGTACCTCTGAGCATCTTTTCCTGTTTACTGGCCATGAGAATATATGCTTTGGCTGGGCGTGGTGGAGAATGCCTATAATACCAGTACCTGGGAGGCTAAGGCAGGAGAGGATCTCTAGGTAACCAATGTGAGTTCCAGGCCAATATGAGCTACAATGCAAGACCTCCTCTCAAAACAAAACAAAACAAAAAAATATATTCTTTGGAGAAACATAGTCAAGTCCTTTACCCATAACTGAACTGGGTTAGTTTTTACTGTTGCTACTAATCCCTTATTACATATATGATTTAAGTATTTTCTTATAGTCTATGAGCTGTCTTGTTTGTCCCGACAGTCGTCAAAAAATTTTTTTCACCTGTGCATCTGGTGTCAGGTCCAAGACACCAATGACAAATCCAACTTTAGGGAGATTTTCTCCTATGTTTTATTCTAAAAATTTTAGCTCTGGAAATTAGGTCTTTGGCCCATTTTCAGTTAAGAAAGTAAGGCTAGGAATCAAATTGTCCTTTTTTCTAATTGTTCATATCTTTTGTCCATTTTTCTATTACTATTTTTGCATTGCTTTGCATAAATTCCTGAAGCATCATTTTGCATATGCTGGAAATATTTTTTTCCTAATTTGTTATCTTTCATTGGTTAATTCTGTCAGAGTAGTTTTAAATGTCTTACATGACCAACATATCATCAACTTATGAAAGGTAAATTCATTTGGGGCCTTAATGATCAAGACAGGTCTTCCTTATCCCCAAGTCATAAACAAGACTTTCTAATACAGTATTCTTCTTACATAGGTGTTTCTCCTCACCATCTTTACTAAGTTGAATGAATGCCATTTATTATGCTGACTAGACTTGACTAAAACTTATCAAGATTAAATTCCTCCACTAATATGCTGATGTTCAACAAATATCTAAGTAACTCTATAGCTAAACTTCATAATTTTTCACAATATGTAGTAGCCCCCAAAGTTTTTTTAAAACAGTGTAAATGAGAGCTAAAATTCATCCACTATCCATAGTTAATGACCTTCTAAAATCATCCGTAAAAAATTACTATCTTAACACATACTAAAGCCTTAGGCTTCATTCAAATATGTCTGTAGATACCATCAAAAGACAAAAAGGAATTTTATTCCACATGACTAATACCTCATATTAATACCTAACTAATCTCTTCTCCTCCTTCCATTATGGAACCTATATACACCAACCCATTCAAGAGTTACCATGAGTCACTGGGAGGTCTGCTTCTGAGACTAAAATGTTAATAAATCATAACTAAACAAAAACCTTGCTAAACGAGGTCATTAAGCTGACATTGGAACTTATTTGGCCACAGCAAACAACAAAGACCCAGAGGGCCAGGGATTTGGCTCAGTGGCAATATGCCTGCCTTGCATGTTCAAGGGCCTGAGTTTGATCCCCCGTACCAAAACAACAACAAAGACCCTTATCTCCTGCCTGTTCTGCTATTTCACTAATCCAGAAGTGACTGGAGTAGAACCAAAAGAGCAATACAGTGTGTCAACTGATGCAAATAGTTTTATACTTTTTAGTGTGACAGTTCATTACTTCACTAAATGATTGGGCAATAAAGTGATCTCACCAAAAAATACTCAAAGGTCACCTAAACAGATAACAATTTAAATGAGAAATTATTTTACTCCACCCGAGTACCGCTGCAAGGGTAGATAGTCACAGCTCCTACACATCTGCATCTCTTCAGCAATTAAAAACTGGGTTTATTTTATATTCTTTCTCTTAGATGACACACTGGCATTAACAGATCTAAATCTATTGCTAGGATACTTCAGCAAGATGTGTAACACATATACTCTCTTACTCTAAATACCATAACCAATGCAGGTAACTTCTCTAACCTTTAACACATTATCATCCTCACAGCTGTATATCCATGTACAACAAACATCTGCATACTGCTAAGTATCTGCCAAGCACTGGGGACAGAGCAGCAGGTAAGAAGGCAAAGATCTTATTCTTGTGTAATTGTGCATGCTACCACTGACATCTTTAGATACTATTAATCATCTATAAGGCATTTCTGACCCAACAGATCAACCTGATTCGAACCATCAATCTTCGATAGAAAAGATGTGACTGTTTTTTTGTTTGCAGAACTGGGGATCAAACTCAGGGCCTCATTCATAGTCGGCAAGTGCTACACTGTTGAGCTACACTCCCAGTCCTTAATTATATAATTGTTAAGGGAAATCCAAATACAGACAATCACAATGTCTATGAGCAGAGTTAGTACAAAGCTTAGCTGTCTCACGGATGACTCTCCTGACAAAGAAATAATTTCAAATTAATGGACACTTCAGAAATTTAAGATTAACAAGAATAACCTGAAAGGATAAAAACTATTATACATTTAAAGAAATGAATTGTGCCTTCAACTAAGATGCATAGGAAAACATCAGCAAAGACTGTACAATTTGCTCTATATAAACACACAGTTTGAAAGTAATCGTTTCTTCCTATAAATTTCAAACTGGTGCAACTTTTAATTAAATTTGTCAGGAATGATGTTCAAAGCATGGAGAGAAAGGTAATATTTAAATTCAAAACGTATAAAAAACAAATCTAACCTAAAAGCGTTATGGTGTAATTGTAAAAAAACTAAAATTATCAGTGCTATAACACCCAAGAGTACAAAGTGCTTTGGAAAAAGACAGAGAGAAATTAACTGATAAAATAACTAGAAAGACAACAGAGCTGGTTCTTACAGAAGTCCTGAGCTCAACAGGATAGGAATGGAAGAACAAACATATCTTACTTAGTAAAGCCTAAAAAACAGGTAACACAGTAAAAGCTGTACAAGTCTGCAACAGATACATGATGGAGAATGCATAAGTAGGGCCAGGGATGGAGCTAAATGGTGCCGCACCTGCCAGGCAAGCGCAAGCTCCTGGGTTTGGTCACTGATTCTGGAGAATGGATGAGCAGCATGTGTACAGATCAGGTTAGTATGGCAAACTCCATCTAGGCCATCAAGGTTTGCTGTAACCTTACTATAAAGTATGGACATTATCCTTTTGGACTAATGAGAAACCATTAGAAGGAGGAAACCATAAAGTCCATTTCAAATTTACGATCACGTCACTAAGAGGACAGAGTAAGAAGGAAGTGGAACACTGCAGTGGCTAATCGGGGAAAGAACATACACAATTGAGCTGTTTAAGATTTGAGTAGGAAGAGAAGAGAGGGCAGATAGGTGGGCAAGAAGGCCGAAGAGCAAGGAAAAATTGGGAGGTGGGAATAGTACTGTTAAATACTGAGAATCTAAGGATAAATTATGGGAAAAGGGAGAAATGTGAACACCACCTGAGGAAATGTAACAAGAACTTACATATGGAAACAGAGTATGAAGAAAATAATCACAAAGAATGACTACCAAAAAGGGACATGTGCAAGAAAAAGAACAAAACAGCTGAATGCTATTCATAATATCACAGAACAGGGAGACACAAGAACTAGAAAACTGGAGAGCCATATCACAGAAGCCACAGAAAAACTTGATGAAAGAGCTAGTAAGTGTTCAATGTACAAAAGTGAAACAAGTTGAAGAATCTGACAAGGCTGTGAGATTGTGTTGTTTCTTTTTCCTGTGACAGGGTCTAGATGTATTATTGCTGAGACCAGTCTTGAATTGTGGACTCAAGTGTTCCTCCCACTGAAGTTTCCCAGGACTCAAATTGGCAGGTACCACCACTGTACTGGCCTGGCATTTTTTTTGTTTTGTACCAGGGATCGAACTCAGGTCCTTGTGCTTGTGAGGCATGCGGCGGCACCACTGAGCTAAATCCCCAGCACTTTTCTGAGACCAAAGAGTCAAAATTATAAGAACTAAAAAATGGAAGCATCCATTGAGAGCATATTAATTAATCCTTTAATTTATACTTCACCTCAGAAATTTTGACAAACAGCTCAGCAAGAGGATAAATCTGGTGTTTATGTATGAATTTTGGCATAAGCTATCTTTAAATAAATGTACAATATTTGAAATGAGCATCAATCTGTGATGTATTTTGGAATGCATGGTAAAAAAATAATACTATGTAACAGTTATTGTAATAAGGGACATTCATATAATGTGTAAGAGAGGTGAAACTAGAAGCAGAAAAAAAATCCAATTATTTGAACGCTCGTCAACAAATTAAATCAATGTAAAACATTAGATCAATAAACAGATTTGGCTTAAAGGTTCATCATCTCCTGACTCCAGTTGACATTTCTTTTTTTTCTTCTTATGAGACAGGGAGGGTCTCACTGTTTAGCCCAGGCTTGTCTTGAACTAACTCACAGCAATCCTCCTGCCTCAGCCTCCCAAGTGCTGAAATTACAGGTGTGTGCCACCATGCCTGGCTCTCCACTAGACATTTCAAAGTTCAACAACTAACATTTGCTAATGACTCATCCATACTACAGTAGTATGAGTTTCATGAACTTATTTCTTTTCCATGATTCTGGTCACAGCGGAAATGGTCATGAATTGAATTGAACTTGATGGTTAGGGTCAATCTCAACTTTATAAAGAGAAATTTGATTTGGTATGAAGTCAGAATAGTGGAAAGAATTAAGTTCGTGAACCAAGGTGCCACTGGAATTTGTGTAGACTACTTTTTAGTTTCCTTAGATTCTCTTTGATGAAGCACAGTTTGGAATTGTGAAGAGCCTATTAAATACATTTGTCCACTGCTTATATTATACCTCTCAAGTGACTGTTACCAAAGTTATTCTCTAACTTCTTGAACATGTGAATTAACAATGAGCTGTATAAACACAATTTGCATTGCAGTATTTACCTGTAATCCTCAGATGGAGGTTTCATTTTAGAAACTAATACAACTTATCCTGTTGCATTTGTGACTCAGTTTTTAAATTCAGAAACTGAAACCAGTAACCTGGTGGAAACTACAAGCTAGACTCAGAAATAGGGAAGGCAATGGGAGTAAGGGAGATGAAAGGAGAGGGAGCTAGGCAGAGAAGAAAACATTGAAATATATACATAAAACCAATTGCATATTACTAAAAACAACTGATACAGAGAAATGCTGTTTAAAAACGCCTAATTTGCATCAAACTTAAAAATCGAGACTTCTATCAAGATAATCACAAAAATTAAAATTTTATGCAAATATGAAGGGACATTTAACTTTGACCAGTTATTTAAACCATCGTTAAACATTATAAATTAAGCACTTGACTTCAGTGTCAAAGGCAAAATGTCTTAATAATTACAAATTAAAAGAAAAGGCTCCTCATGACTAATTCTAGACCTACATCTATGAAGCAACTCAAAACAAAAAAGGAAGAAAAAGAAGAATTTGTAGTAAAGTCTTAAGTAAGCCAAAGAAAGTAACGTCATATTATCAGAAACTAAAGTCCAACGTGCAGCATCAAGTACAATGGCATACCTTTTCTTTCTGTTTTCTGTGCAGGGAGAGAAGATGTGGGTGTAGGCAGTTTTGATAAAGTAGATGCTCCATTAGCATCAAATGATTTCTTTGGCTGGTGATCAGACTGTAGCGAGAATGGACTAGAAGGAACATTGCTTGGGGCAGCAGTTGTATGCACCACTGGTTTGATGGGGTGCTGTACTGGCGTAGAGCTACTGTGAGTCTCTGCTCTTGGCAGCCTGTAGTCTCTGTCATTGTGTCTGCTTGTCTGAGACAAAATGTTCTGTGGGAGCAAACTACTGGCATCACTGGAATGCTTGTCTTCCACTTTACAGTTCACAGTTCGAAAAAAGAGATGTTGGAATGACAGAGGGGGAAGAAAAAAGATTACGTTAGAATCCTGTCTTTAACATCAGCTAATTTAGCGACATACTTTTATATATATATATATATATATATAAGTTGTTTTAAAACTGCAAGCCCAGATAGTGTCTGCAGTTTTAATACTGGAATATATTTTTAAAAAATAAAAGAGGAAGAGTTTCAATAGTCTATGCTCAGACTTCAAGTGGGCCGGTAGTTTCTTAGTACTCTTTAGAACCATGCTGTAGTTTATAAACATAAAAGAACAATCAAATAAACAAAAAAACCCAATATGGTGTTATTCACATTTCACTCAAAAAATTTAAAAAATGTTCTAGTCTTTAAAAATATAGATCATAGGATCTAATTAATAATAGACTAAATTACCTATAGTGGTTCCACTGCAAAAGAATATTAGCTTTGTTAGCCTGCTTTTTCTGAATACTTAAGTAGCTAATTAGTGGGCTCCAAAGTAGTTTATACTAGGGTTTAAGTGACTTCATTTTCAGATGGTTGAATTTATGACAAACTGTGCACTCAGAATTTTTTGTAATACTAAAAGTAATAAAATTATGGCATGTATGCTAACTGCAAACAGAAGTCCTATATCTGCAGGGTCATCAGAAAAATCTATCACAAGTTGATAACAGATTCTCTTTCAATTTAAAGGCATAGAAATATTTTAAACTCACAAATAGGTGAGCCAGTTTAAACTCAAGCCAGTTTAAGCTTTATCAATTTAAATTCTAGTACTATGCCTCCACAAAACAATACACAGGAAGGAAAATTTAAATCATGTTAACAAAAAAATACCCTCTCTGTTGAATATGTATTATTTTTTTCCAATTCACAGCTTTTCTAATTCTAAAGACCAAGAGTGATCAAAGAAATACTCTCAAACTTTAAATTATTTTACAGTTGTCTGTACACAAGTGCATTTTATATCCCAACCACATATGCTGGGATGCTGCCAAAAATTTGAACCTTACCAAAACGCAAGGTCTCTTAACAATGACCCAATATAAATTCTGGGGTTACATAATTTTAGCCTAGATTTTTCTTCCTGCAAAGAGTATACTAATACATACAATGCAAATATTTACAAAACAGATAAATAATACCACACCCAACAATATCACTTTAATACCTAGAACTTTTCTTTCTTGATCGAGAAAATTCTTTCAATTATGTATGGTCAGTCAAAATATGAAACAATGCACTGAGATGAAAATTACACTAACTTCAAATGTAAGTTAAAAAGAGCAGCATTACAGGAACAGGGGAGGGAAGCTAGAGTTGCAACACCTTGTATTGCTCACAAACTCTAGATGGAAGTTAAGTAAGTGGCTGTATGTTAGCCTGCCGCCCCTACCCGCTGCTACTCGTTCATGAGCAGAGGGAGGTATACTACAGGCATGTAGTGGGTATGATGATCTATAACCCACCGAACTAAAGGAAAGTCTCCTACAGCAAAAAATTTTATCCGTATACCTTTTACTATCAAGTTGTAGAGTACTATCTCTTTACATATAAAAATCTTTATAAGCCCCCATCACTTTCTATCCCAGTATCAATCTATACTTATTGTACACCTGGGGAAACTGGCAATGTTTCTGAATAGACAACATCAAACATTTAAATGGATTACTGACTTTATTACTGCAACACACACAGCTCAGGTGAGCAGTTAGAAAAAGGAAACAAGCAACATAACTAAGGTCCTTTCTCAAACACTAAAATCTAAAAAAAGTGTGATATGTGCATGATTATACCTCAACATAGCCACAGACTCAATGATTCATCATCTGTACATCTAGGAAATTATCTTCAGGTAAGAGGGCAGATATGGGTCATCACCTTGCTTACAAGGCTAAAAATCAGGCCAGGGATTTAGCTCAGTGGTGCTGTCACCTGCCTCACAAGCACAAAGACTGGGGTTCAATCCCCAATACCAAACAAACAAACACCAAGGCTAAAAATCGACCCAAGGTACTCTTAGATAGGGGTTATTTATAAATAACAGTACATCCCCACAAATGTAAAACTATGCAGGTAATGTAACAAGTATTAAATTATAAACTCAAATAGAAATACACTGCTGAAATATTAAACAAAACAGATTATAATCAGTGCTAAACCCATCTTTGGAGCAAAATACAATGTATCAAAAAAAGTTTGTGCCAATACGTTGCTGGGTCATGGGAACAAGTGTTTACTTCTCTTAATTTTTAGACAGGCAAGCTTTACTTTTGAAATAATGAACAAAAAATGAAAAAGAAACACTTTATTTGAAATACAGTGGTACTCGAATTCATGAGCACTTTTGCTTGTGAACAATGTGGTTTGCAAACAGAAAGATACATTTGGCAAAATACTGCTCATGTTTGCAAACTGCATCCAGTGATGAACGTGACCACGGCCATCTTTACCACACGGACAAATGTGGCCATCTTTCCCTGAGTTGTGGAACAAATTAAGTTTGTGAACCAAGGTACCACTGCAAAAGTTGTATACATAACACACAAAGAAGCCATGCTGCCTTCCTATCAATTTTTCCAGAATCAGATCTCTTAATTTCTCCCTTTACTTACTTTAAGTAGGTGACTTAAATGAGAGGTTACTTTGCAAAGAATTACTGGGCTTTGCTTTTTCTTCTTTGAGTTGCCCGGTATGGCAAGAACTGGCCCAATCTAGTGCTGCTACTAATTCTGGGATTTAGTTAGTAAGGACACAATACTGCATCCTCCGTATCATATCCTACGTTTACTAAAAAAAGGTTAATTTTTCACCAATGGCTACTACTTCTCTATGATGCAATTCTCTATTTGCTCCAGTCCCATAAGCTGGGTGCTGATTACTTCAAGAGAAAAAGCTTTGCCCAAAGTCAGTTACTTAAAAAGTGAAGAGACTAGATCAAGTCTATTTCAAAGTAAAACGTTATTTCCTAACTTTGGTACTATGAATCAGTTTTCACTACAATTTCCCTAATATATGATTCAAGATTTAATATTCCTTGGGCTGGGATTTAGCTCAGTGGTTCTGCTTCCTGCCTCACAGAAGGACAAGGACCTGAGCTTGATTCCTGGTACAAAAAAAAAAAAAAAAAAAAAAGTTTAAACATTCAGTCATGCAGAAACACGTAACTAGATTTGCTTAAGTATTTTTTTTCCCATCAATGAATGAATATTCCTTGTTAAGACCAAGTATATCTATTACTTAGATTTTTGAGTTAAACATATAGGAATTTAATACTTACCCTTAGGAATTACAAGAGCAAATTTTAGAATTCTTCTAAAGTTTTAAAATTCAAAAAAGAACTCTCTATATGGGATTTAAATCTTATCTGGGGAAAGGGAAACTACTTGGGAATATGGAAACTTGGA